TTACTTTTTCTCTCTTTGCTTGTTGTCCGTGTCATATGAGCAACTCATCTTGCGTTAATCTATTCTTCTCCATTTGAATCCCTCATAGAGTTGTTGATTTGCTATATATTCTTACCCTTTCCCCAACTACTATAAAGAATTTTCATTTTGGGCTCTTACATGTTCATCCCGATGCACGCTTTTTTTTCGGAGTGTTCGTAACAATGTTATAAGCATGATGTTAACTAACGGAGGAGCAGTTTCACTGATTCTCTAGTTCTCACCTATCACTTATTAGATGCGGAAGCTCCAGATGCTACTTGTTAGATGAAGTCACTTTCAAATACATTGCTGATAGAATTATGAAAATTTCTATGATTTATTATAGAAAATATGTCATTTGTGTACACATCTTTTTTTCCTTGAAATAGGGTCTCAGTGTTTGCTGTTCTTGTCGCATTTTGTGCGCAATCTTGCTTTTAGGAGGGAAATCAATACTTTTCTATTTTTTTTTCTGTTTTGCGCAGTCACGCTTCCTATATCCTTTTTTTCGGTAAGTTGTGGGGCTGTACCAGTTTACTGATTTATGATTTGCCATCAACACGTAGTAAAAAGACAGTAGACTCGTTCAGAACCTCAATATGTTCAGGAGATGCTGGAGCTTCCCAACAACTGGGTAGATCTCATCAAATTCTACGAATTAGTGCCTATGCTGAGTCGTATTGTGGTGAGTTACTTTTCTTTTCACATTTGAAAAGTTTCTTTTTCGTTACACTACAAAACAGCTTGCCTCTACGTCTGACTGCATCATGCTTTCTTCTAACTAGTTTGCACGATTTTCAAAATCGCAACAAATTTCAGCAACTCCTCAAGGAATCTTAACAAAACTAACTTTGCCGGAGCTGCGAATTCGAGTACAGCAGGTCAAGAACATCTGCGCTGGCGACGCATTGTATCCTCAGGAGGTGCGAAGCTTTTTGCGTACATGGATTTGATACTATGTTTTTGAAAGTTTGAATTTTCAGCTCTCTTATATGCTCTTAGTGACCGGTGATATCACATTTGGAGGAAGAGCAGGGGAAGAACTCTTTTTGTACACTGTGAGTATGATATTTTCTTTCTTTTTCGAAATAACATTATATCCGTTGTTTTAAAGATGGAGCAGCTGCCAAGCATTTTTGGAACGAATGTGCCGAGCATTGACGCAAGGATAGGTGTTCAGAATTTCTTAATGCAGATGCGAAGAAGAGCACTTTGCGTGGTGGCTGCAATTGGTTATCACTTCTCCTTGCATCATCGCAGAGGTTTAGAGTAGGTTTTGCTTCGATTTTTTCAATACAGTTGAATGCAGAAATGAAGTCGAAGGAGTATGCATGAGTTGCACTTCTCTGGTTTGAGAGAAGTTTATCTATTGTTTACACATCACTTTCCGATATGAGGCGAAAGG